AAAAAGAACACAAAATAAAAGGCGGCGGAGACAAGGACTACAATGGTTGTTATTCGGAGTTTCTAGTAATGTTTGATTCATGTTTCGTTAATTTTTTGATTCATGTATGGAACCTTCTGTTTGTACCTCTACTCTCTATGTTATGTGACAATGTATGTTTGCTTCTTTTTAGCTTGATGTGTCGTAGCAGGGTGAAACAGGTATAACTGTTATTTTTAAGGCATAACTGGCATCTGTTTGGTAAAACTGGTCAAACTAGTAAAACCGACATACTAGTACAACTAGTATAACTGATAAAAGATGTTTTAGATGCATTAACTATGTATGTACCAATAAACGACATACCTAATGTCTTAACGTTGGTATAACGTTGTTTTAAAACTGACATACTAGTACAACTAGTACAACTGATCAAAGATGTGTAAGATACCTAAAATTACTTTATATTGAACCTAACTAGGTATGTACCAATTAATGACATACTTAATGTGTTAACGTTGGTAAAAAATACAATTTTAAAAAATATTTATATTTTGGGTCGTTATGAAAGAATCTAAACTAGTGTTTCCTTATACTTTTAAGTTCACTTTCTAAATAATCACTAGGTTGAGATGAAAAAGTTATATAAGTATACAATTTTAATATATGAATACATAGAATACTCTTAATTGTAGGTAGACTGACATTAATAAACTGTACAACTACTAAATACAGTTTTAAGTCAGTGTAATACTAATTAAACTGAAAAAACATCAAAAGTACAACTATTTGCAATCTTGGTACAACTACATCCTTGTGGGTACAACTAAGTGTGAACACATAGTGTGAACACAAATTCGGGACACGTGGCAACGTGTGGTTGGTCAATTGTTTTTTTTTTTTCGCAAAACTTTTTCGAAAATTAGCCAAAACATTTTGAAAATTTTGGCCAAAAAGTTTGAATTTCCCGCCCAACGAAATTTCAAAATTTTAAATGTTTTTTTTTTTCATCTCTTCTAGATCTAGATCTCTCTCTCTCTCCTCTCTCTCATTCATCTTCCTTTCTTCTACTCTCGACCTCTCTCTTCTCTCTCTCTCATCAATCTCGACATCTCAATCTCTATCTCTCAAGCCCTCTTTCTTAATCTCTATCTTCTCTATCTCTCTCTCTCAATCTCTCTTTCTCAATGGCGGAGCGATACTACCAAGGGGAGGATCCACACTATCGACACATGAAAGAGGCAAAGAGATATATGGACCGACTTGATGCCGTAGCCGATTCTGATTGGGGCATTCCTCTTCAATGTCCGTGTGGTGAACATATCGTTGAGGAGACATCTCCAACGGAAATTGAGAAGAAGAGATACTTTACTTGTGTTCACTATAAGGTAATACTGGTAATACTTATATAGTGGTAGTACTGGTTAAACTGCACCAAACTTATATATTGTGTTGTGTTGCTTTATAGGATGATGGGTTACACAGGCGCAAATATTGGGTTGATGCGATTGAAGAGGATGCCAAAAGCTTGAGGAAGGACGTGGAAGAGCACACAACTAGATTGAGAGAATACGCAAATCATGACTTCCTTATCTCTCAAATGAAGTTGCAGCTGGAAGGCAATGCAAAAGAGATTGCCTACCTCAAGGACGTAGTGTCAAGTCTTGTGGGTCGAATTGAGCTGTTAGAAGAAATTAGCTTTAAGTAATTAATTTGTTGTGTCTTGTTGTTTCTTTTGAAATTAAGACTCATTGTTTAATATGCTTTAGTTTAAGTCTATGTTGTGTGTGTTTTAATTCTATGTGAACTCTATGTAGTGTGTGTTGCAATTATATCTTATATTTTTGTGCAGTCAAGTTTTACTCAGTTTTACTAGTATTACAATGTCCAACCGCAGTCAAGTTTTACTCAGTTTTACTAGTATTACTATGCCAACCGCAGTCAAGTTTTACTCAGTTTTACTAGTATTACTATGTCCAACCGCAGTCAAGTTTTACTCAGTTTTACTAGTATTACTAGTATTCCAACATCAAGTTTTACTAGTAGTACTAGTATTTCTAGTTTTACCAAATCCTTGGAAAATCTGAAATCGTACTAGGTAATTCTACTAATACCAAATCCTGAAAATAAGTTAAGTTTACACAACCAAAAATACAACCATAAAACAAATAACATTACCAAGTTCACAACCATCACCACAACCATCTTCACAACCATCACCACAACCACATTTAGTTTTTCTTCGATCTTGTCTTGGGTCTTGAACTGGGTTCTAGGGGGGCTGGTCGTTTCTCACCTTTCTTCTTCTTCGTCTTCTTCACGGAAGCTTCCAATTCATTAAACCGTTTCTCAAGTCCATCTAACTTCTCGAAAATGATAACAAACTTCGAACTCACTTCTTCTTGGAGGGTGTTGACCACCGCCTCTAGAGTATTGAAGGCTATTCTCGGTGTAGGAAGGGTATCTTCGATTTCTGACCGGGCCACCACATCTTCATCGAACATCTCTTCGAAAAACACACCCTTACCTTTCGAAATGAGCTTCATCCAACTCTCAACCACAACATCATGCACATCATCATCTTCGTGACCTTCGTCGATGAGTTCTTCCAACAGTAGAGATTCTTCATCGGTACATTCTAAGATAGAGACAATATCCTGTTTAAACAAAAGAAAACACACACACATTAAAAACACCAAATTACTAGTTAAAGTTTCGATGAATTGGACAACTAACCTTAGTTTCACCGAGAACGTCATTTAGCTTCTTGAGAGGAAACCCTTTCATCGCCCCTTGCTTGAATTTCCTCCTACACATCCGGGGACACTCTATGTCCGCGTCTGGCCTAAATTCAATGAATTCATTACCGAGTGAAGGAATCGCCTCAAAAGCCAATAACTACACAACATATATAATTCATGTTAGCACAAAAGAAGTTAACAATCACAATGAAATTCGATTAGACAAACCACTAACCTCCATCGGGATACAAAATCCCGGAACCGGCCAAATTGCTCCTTCTTTCTCCACCACCCCATCAAAATGGCGCATTGTGTGCGAGATGGACTTGAGCATGTGCTCAAACGAGTACCTTCCCCAAGGAAAGGTAGCACAAAACTGCAGATCGTTAACCGCTCGTAGACATAGGCTATCTATGGGCGTCGCTAACTTCCCCGAGTTCTTGGTGTCCCCGACAAGGATACTCACTAAAAAGTAGAGTACCATCATCTTCAACCTGTCATGAGTACGATCCGGAACCATCGTCTGTAGTTTTTCCTTGACGTCTTCCAATCTTACCCTCCTAAGGTCCTTGAAGTGCTTCCTTTTGAACCTTTCACTTCCCGCGTTCATGTAACCCTCCGGATAGGCCCGACAATCCAAACCCGACATTAAAGCATGCTCTCTCAATCCATACCGGATTGGGACACCGTTTACCACGAACCAAACTTCCTTCTTTTTCTCTATGCAAGCCGTACGAAGAAGGAGCATCCACATTCCCATAACCTTGTGGTTTGGGTCCTTTTTCAAGTGGAATATGTGCTTGAACTGCATATGGTCTTCAAACCACTCCTTCTCGCTCTTCGTCATAGGAATATCCAACCCTTTATCTAGTAGAGACAAAGTTTCATGGATATGGCACCTTGTCGATAGCTTTATCTTCTTGTTGTACTGACTCGGTGGGAAGTGCATTCTTAACGGCTGCATTGGTGTCTCGTCGTCGGAATCCTGCAAAAAAACAGTAATATTGTCTTAGTTCTACCAGTTTTACACACACAGTTTTACCAGTTGTACCTAGTTTCACTAACACAGACAGTTCTACCATTTATACCCAAACGGTTGTACCCAGTTTTACCTAGTTTTACAACACAGTCAGTTTTACTTATAGTTCTACCAGTTTTACTTAACCAGTTCTACCGAGTTACACCTAATTTCACAACACTACCAGTTTTACAACTAGTTCTACCAGTATTACATGACAAGTTATACCTACTTTTAACGAAATACCATACATCAATTGAATCAAACACCAAATCGTTTTAGACCCTTACATCGTTTTCATTCGAGTTGGTTCCCGAGTTGGAGCTTTCCTCGTCATTATCTCCATCTTTCTCTTTAGAACCTTCTTCTTGTTCTTCTTCTTCTTGTTCATCTTCTTCTTGTTCTTCTTCTTCTTGTTCTTCTTGTTCTTCTCCTTCTTGTTCATCTTCTTGTTGTTCTTCTTGTTCTTCTCCTTCTTCTCCTTCTTCTCCTTTTTCTCCTTTTTCTCCTTCTTCTTTTTCTACTTCTTCTCCTTCTCCATCTTCTCCATCACTATCGGATGAGGATCCTAGAGTTTCACTACTCTCCTCACCGTCTTCTTTCTCCTTCTCGCCGACGGTCTCCTCCTCTGCCACAACCGCCGGCGCCTCACGGAAATCGGCCAATGCTCCTTCTTCCTCGTTTACTTCTGGAGTTATCTCTTTCTCCCCGGCCGGCGGAGAATTCTCATCCGCCGAGAGAAACTCTTCGTCCGCCGCTTTGTCTACTTCCCCTTCCCCAATGGGTTCTTCTTCGGCCGCTTTTGCTTCTTTTGCTACTTCCGCCGCTTTTGCTTCTTCGGCTTCTTCCGCCGGCGCCGCTCGCACCAATGCTTCTTCAACCATTTCTTTCTTCTTTCCCCTTCTTGTTTCAACCATATTTCTTCCAATCAATGTCAATACTCAAGATGATACTCGATGATTGCTCAAAATGGAGAGAAACTGAGAAAAACTACTCGAATTCAAATCTGAGTTCTCGACACTTAGAGAGAAAAAGAGAAGAAGAAGAAACGGTTCGATTAGGGATTTCTAGTTTTTAATTTTTTCAAATTTTTGTTTTTTTCTTTTTTATTATTTCGGGTTTCTGGGTTATATTAATGGGTGGGTGGATATATCCAGGTTTTTGATGTAATAATACAGTTTTGACGAGGATACAGTTGTAATTGAGGTGTTTTTCGATTTAAATAAAAAACAAAAAACAAAGAAAGAATAGAAAGGGAGAATAGCGATTGTTCCTCCCCAAATAAGGGCACACGAGACGATTTCTCGTCTGTCTATGGAGGTTTTGATTCATATTCCTGAAAGAATGGGAAAGGTCACAGGCGAAGTAGAAGAAGAAGGTGAAGCTATTATATCTCTGGGGTCTCTCTTCAAGCTTACTCAAATCCATCTATGGTAATAAGCCTTAAGTTATTTCAATAGGGTTAAGCTCTTTTGTTGTGTTTTCAGCTGGTTTTGTTCTGATTCTCTCGTCTGTTTAAAATACTCAGGGACGATGGGTCTAGAGATACTCATTTGGTTCCTCTGTTCCATGAACAGAGTGGTGTAAGTGTTCTTTAATAATTTTTGAGTTTATCTTAGGTTTCTGTGATTTTGGGGTTTTAATTTTGGTTCTTTTTTGGTAATGCAGGTAGCCCCAAACAAGAGTGTTGATAATACTTCTGGAATTGCGAGTATGTTTTTACTTTTGGGTTGTCTTTAAAGTTTTGATTTTTATTGGTGGTTGTTAAAGATCTTTGAAAGTTGTTGAATTTTGATGTTTGTTGAAGGTGTTAGGTCTGAGGAGATGGGACTGATGAAAGAGATGAATGATTTGGGTCTTCCTGTTTCCTTTCGAACAAATAAGGAGGTACCTTGTGATCCAATTTTATAAATTCATGGTTTTTTAGTTAGTTTTGAATGATCTGAGAATTCAACTACTTATGTAGTGGAAGAACAGAACAAGAGGATACCAAAAGGAAGGACTCAAGGTTCAAATAAGCGAGGAGGTTAATGTTCTTTTCGAAGAAGAATACAACGAGGATGTATCTATTGGTGATGAGGAAGTTGAACCGTGTCTAGAAGATGGTTGTGTTCAAAGTACATGTACCACAGTTGAAGAGAAAAATGATGATATTGTTGTAGGAAGCTGTTTCTTGGGAAATGGAGATGGAGATTCAGTGTTGTCATCAGAGACAACAGATTCTCAGAGTGGTAACCATGAATCTAATGAATGGAAAGTTTATTGGGATACTTACTATGGAAGAAGTTATTTTTACAATATGAAGACACAAGAGTCAACATGGGAAGCGCCGCTTGGGATGGAGCATCTAGCTTATAGTGACGAAAGCCACAACTTGAGTGAATTGGCTATAGAGGTGATTGAGATGGATGCCTGCCTTTTTATCTTTATTGTAAACTTTCAGAAGAATTTGTTCCTTTATGTGTGATTGGTTATTTTCTTTTTGGTATTCAGACGACAGAGAAGCAACATGATGCTGTGGTTGGAACTGGACCTGCCGATGATGTTGATGCTGAAAAACCTTATGATCGTGGTGGAGCTTGTGAAACAGAAACAGAAGCCCTAGCGGAAGTTAACAGGTATTACAATTCTATATAATGAGGTATTTCTTCCAGCTGGTTTATATCATGGCATTATGTTCCTGGACTGAACTTAGTTGAAGTGAGGTTTTTACAAGGAATAAACAATCATATTTGCTTTTATATCTTGTGGAATTAGCTATTGATCATGGTTTTATGTGTCTGTACCCAGTGTACTGAGTATTGATAAGCAATCTTGTGTGGCAATACTTGATACGACTACAAGCAGAATTGTTTTAGTACAACTTTAAACATTGAGAGTTATTGTAATGGTCTTGTTTGAAGCTATTGTTACAATATTAAATGTCGTAACTTTGAAAGTACCGGTATGCTTACAAAACAAACTTTTTGTCTGTTATTGAGCCTCTGTAACAACAGCCTTCTAACATATTCCTTGTTTCCAGTTCTACTGATACATACCAAGAAACTTTCGTTGGAAATCAATCTTTTGATATTACAACTCTTGATGAAGAGGGAAACAGTGCATATGTTGTCAAGTCTGTTAGGAAGGCAAATAAAGAGTCCAGAAGATCTCGCGCCAAAAAGAAATTACTCAATTCGTACACAGGTTTGAAATATCTATTGCATACATGTAGCTTTGAGTTTTCATAGCTGCAGTTGGTCCATTGTTAAAAGTTTTTAAATTCTTCCGTGAGTAGGGACTGGAATGAATGGTGTTCTTGAAGAATATTCTGCAATCCTTGGCAAGTATTGGTGCCAAAGATACTTCCTCTTCTCTAGATTTGATGAAGGCATCAAAATGGATGAGGAAGGATGGTTTTCTGTCACTCCTGAACTTATAGCTAAGCATCATGCCACACGTTGTAACGGAGGAATAGTCATCGACTGTTTTACTGGAGTCGGTGGAAATGCTATTCAGTTTGCATCAAGGTGAGTGAACATAGACTTTTCATACTTAATTTTTTAGTGGTTTTAGAGTTTTTAATATAATTTGGCAGTTCTTAGTCACTCAATCATTGCTAGATTTTCTCTACCAACTGGTGGAGGTAAGGTTTTGCACATTTTGGGCAATTTCCCTGTTTCATTTCCTGCTGTGTTGTGCCTTTGTAGGAGTCACTATGTGATTGCAATTGATTTGGATCCAAAGAAACTTGATTTAGCACAGCATAATGCTGCCATATATGGTGTTGCTGATAAAATCGACTTTGTGAAGGGAGACTTCTTTGACTTGGCCCATAACTTGAAGGTCTTTTTCTTCAACTCTCTTATATATTTTGTTTTTCGTGTAGCCATTGAAAATAAAAATTCATTGTACAGGCAGGCACTGTGTTCTTATCGCCTCCCTGGGGAGGTCCTGATTATCTTAAAGCGAGTACCTATGACATGAAGACAATGTTGAGACCTCGTGATGGGTATATCTCTCCTGCTGATTATTTATTGTGTGATTAAGAGTTTCTTTAGCTCTCATATCTCTTTCAATGATAAGAAATATTGACTCACTGTCCCTGAATGATGCAGAGACACTCTTTTTAAGTCAGCCATGAACATTGCATCAACAATCATTATGTTTCTTCCAAGAAATGTTGATATTAACCAATTGGCAGAACTAGCGTTATCAACATCTCCTCCATGGTCACTGGAGGCAAGTGTCTTTTCCAAGAAACTAGATAGATTCTGATGCTTATTCAGTGATTTTCCGTCACTAAAAACCGATGATTTGTCATCTTGTTGCTTTGTTGAAAACTATATGGCATTTGAGATTGATACTGGAAACAAACCCATTCATCTAATCGGCCAGCCCCAATGTTTTCAGGTAGAAAAGAACTACTTAAATGGGAAGCTGAAGGCGATAACAGCATATTACGTCAGACAAAATACTTGTTAGAACTTTAGAAGAAGACGGCGATGCAGGAAGGCCACAAAGGGCAAAGTTACCTTGCAATCCGCATTTGTGTCAGCTTGTTTGAATCCAAGTAGATGAAAAAATGATTTGTGATCATAGGTGATGCCTTTGTATGTACAAAATGTATTTTGTAAACTCTGGGTTAAGCCCATTCTATATAGAACTCTTGATTCAGAAATTTTGTGTTTTGCAATCTACTCATTGATTCACACAGTGTATTGAAATAGAAACTTGTGTAAGAAAACGAAATTGAGACAGAAGTGTTTCTATTTTGTTGCTCATACACTGTATCTCCACAATCATTTTTGTCGGGATCATGTGCAACAACATTGTACAGTAGAATCTTATCCTCTGTTTGGCCAAGCAAACAGAACACGATGAGAAGCAATATACAGCCAAAAATGTACATTTGTCCGAATCAGAGCATTTAGTAATGATGTTTCAGCCACATTATACGACCAGCTACAACAAGCTGTTTACATGGCAGTTTGAGATATCTCTTACTTGATGATTCAACTACTGTGCTAGACTTTGATTAAAAAAACAGACAAATCAAAAGAATTTGTAGCAAGTACATATATTAACATTTAACATCCCATAGTTGGGAAGTTGTGAAAATTTTATGATTTGGTGGATCAAAATTATATGATAAATTGCTAAGTTAATATTAGTAAATGGCAAAACAGTACTAGAAAAGGTTTGAAATGATTGTAAATAATTATTTTTTTAGAATTTTTTTTTTTTTTGTAAAAGGATAAATTATTTTAGATGCTCAATATATATAGAGCATTATGATAATATTTTGCACATTTCTATGCTTGAAATAGAAACTTTTTCCATAAATTAGTTTTATATTTTCTGGTTAACATAACAAGTCAAAAGATGCAAAATATTTTTTTTTTCTTTCTTTTTTCTTTTTGAATGTAATGTTAAATTATATTAAAAAAAAGTGTTACGTGTTTACAACAAGTGAATCGAAAATAAATAAAAAATGATGAGATTTTGCTGAAAATTTCAGAAAAGAAAAAGGGACTTAAGAGACTTCATGAAGTTGTTCTTGTTTGCAGCCATGTTTGGAATCCAGCGTCATATTTGCCATCTTCCGTATCGTTGTGCATTGGTTTCGAACTTGTTGACCGATCTTCCTGATCAGTATTTTATTTTTTCTAATACTTCATTTTTAGTTAGTTTAGCTTTTATATATTACAATTTCTTCAAAAATTGTACTAGGTATTGATGTCATATGTATTAGACTTTGACGTATTTTTTTTTTTTTGCATAATATATCTTGATTTCGACATCTGCCGAATAATGTTCTTGCCTCTATCATTAGCTCGAGTAGTCCCTATTTCTAGTCTTTTAGTCACCTTTCAATGGCTTCCTTAATTTGATTATGTGCGAGAAACTGTCCTCTTGAGTAGTCAGAAGCGGACTAGTTCCCGAAAGATTGGAGAAGTTAAAAAAGAGTCTCGAGAACAAGGCGTTGAGCATATCGACTTTTGATTTTCCCTAATAATCAGAAGGGATAAACCCCGAAAACTTGAAAACCATCCTTAAGAAGTTACGAAGATAATTTTAACAGATGAAATGAAATATAAGTTTGCATCCCATTAAATAAATTTTACACTGTATATTCTCCAATTACTTCCACCATATGAATATTTTCATCGAAAACAAATTTAACCATCCGATAAAATCCAAAATTTTCTATCCAAATAAATAAATGAACAAAAATAATATCGAAAATACTTAAAATAAATTAAATAAAAACTAGAACCATAAATTGCACACCCACAAGACAATGTATAATATATTAATAACCATTTGATAAAATAGTAATTACGTAAACTGTACAGTGTACAGTTAGTTAGTAAAAATAATAACAAGAATTAAAAAAAAAAAACATTCATAACTTACCTCTACCCCATTTTATTTTAATCCAACATAAAAAAAACACTTCTCCATCATTATTATGACAAAATAAACCAACATCGTTATTACCCCATTGTGCCTTAATTACTGGAAAAGTCTCATATCAACCAAAAAAAAAAAAAAACACACCAATCAAATTAAATTTAAAAAACACTGTATACAAATTCATTAACATTCGTATCTACCACGCCCCAAAAGATAGCTAAAACCAAAAAAAAAAAAAATTTCATTTTCATCTCTTTAAAGTCAAACTCACACATTTTTTTTTCCTGACAGTCTCTCTGAGTCACACCACCACAACAACAACAAACCTCTCTCTCTCTCTCTCTTTTTCTATCTTTCTCCTTCGAGCTCGATTTCACAAAAACGGTTAAAAAGATTCCCAATGCCGTCGGAATCTTCATCACCGTACAAACTCCACCGTCCGGCGAAACCCGGAGTAAGAAGATCTCGACGAGACTCAAGCCCTGACTCTATAATCTTCACACCGGAATCTAATCTCAGTCTCTTCTCTTCCGCTTCCGTCAGCGTCGATCGTTGCTCCACTACCTCCGACGCTCATGACCGTGACTCTCTCGTCTCCGGTCCTTCTCTGGTACTACTCCTCCACCACTACATTGTTATCACTCTTCATTAAATCTGAGAGTTTCGTTGATTTGTTTTCGCTACTTATGAATACGCGAGTGTGATTGTGTTTGACTTAGTCAAAATCATGCAAAAAATTGTTCACTGTTCATTGTTCAATGAAGCTTAGAATACAGATTCGTGTTTCGATTGCACTGGATTTAGAGTTTTGGAGATGATGATTACATGCAACAGAGATGTGTATAGCTTTCGTTTGTTGTTTGTGTTAATTATTAGATCTTGGCTTTATTTTTGAATTTTGAAGTAACTTTTGTTTGGTTGGCATTATATGAGATGAACAGGAGCGAGATCAGAGGGTTGGTTCGTCAAGCTGTAAAGATCTAGATCTAGACAAGCGTGGAACAGGGTGGAAGAATAGTCGTAACGCTAGAAAAAATTCAAATAAAGTGAAAGGTACTACTACTACTACTACTTCTACTACTATGACTAGTGATGTAGTGTTACTGCTAGTGATTGAATTGAATTGATTACAAAGTTGTCATGAAAAGAGAGAGACAAGCGACAAAATAAGTCTATAAAGAGATCAATTATGCTTTTGGAAATTTGAGAAAGAAAAAAAGAATAGTTCACGTGTTTCTGTTTCTCTTACTTTTACTTTTCTTGTTTTCTACTGAGAAAAAAGCAGCTTGGAAAGAGGAGTTTGAGGTTAACAAAGATGATGAAAGCCAGAATCTTGATGATTCAGCTAGGAGTTCTTTCTCTGTAGCTCTTAGAGGTGAGTTTACTTTTTCACATTATATACAAAAGGAGAAAAAGAGGGGAAAGGTTTAGACTTTAGTAGTCATACATTGATTACTTGAAGGGAATCACATGTGGTTAAATCTTAAATCTTTGTAGAATGCCAGGAACGAAGATCTAGATCTGAAGCGCTGGCGAAAAAGCTAGATTACCAAAGGACTACTTCATTGGATCTTAGTAATGTAGTCTCTTCGTCTCCAAGAGTGGTAAATGTAAAGAGAACTTCAGTTTCAACTAATAAATCGAGTGTGTTTCCTAGTCCGGGAACTCCGACTTATCTGCATAATATGCAAAAGGGTTGGAGCTCAGAACGGGTACCTTTACGTTCAAACGGGGGTAGGAGTCCGCCCAATGCTGGTTTTTTACCTTTATATAGTGGTAGAACAGTTCCTTCTAAGTGGGAAGATGCAGAGAGATGGATAGTTAGTCCTCTTGCTAGGGAAGGATCTGCCCGAACTTCATTTGGAGCGTCACATGAAAGGCGACCTAAAGCAAAGAGTGGTCCATTAGGACCTCCAGGATTTGCATATTATTCGTTGTATTCCCCTGCGGTTCCTATGGTTCATAGCGGGAACATGGGCTGCTTAACGGCAAGCTCTCCATTTTCAGCTGGTGTGTTGCCAGACACTGTCTCTTCTAGGGGTTCTACTGCATCAGCATTTCCTCAACGAATCGATCCTTGCATGGCTAGATCGGTTAGCATTCATGGCTGTTCTGAAACACTTCCACGCTCATCCCAAGGTATATACGGATCAACTCTCTGTAACTCATTTATATAAACTACATTTGAGTTTTGATATTATCATCCAACTCTCCACAAATTTTATCGTGCTAAAGTTAGAGTGGACAAATCCTGGATCAAACATTAGTATCCTGCTCTACTGATCATTTCAATATCATGCTCTGAGAAGTTTTGAAATTCTCGTTTGGCAACTTACTTACAGATTTATTACCAATATGTGCAGATGACATTCATGAAAGTATAAAGGATGCTGCTACTGATGCTCAAGCTGTCTCAAGAAGGGATATGGCGACCCAGATGAGTCCCGAGGGAAGCATCTGCTTATCCCCTGAGAGACAGTGTTCATTCTCTCCCTCCTCTCCATCAGCACGACCTGTTTCGGAACTACTGAATGCTCGATCCAACCGAGCAGAAGTCAAAGACTTACAGGTTGATGAGAAGGTAACCGTAACTCGCTGGTCAAAGAAGCACAGAGGTCTATACTATGGAAATAGTTCAAAAATGCAAGACCACTTAAATGGCAAAGCTAGGGATCCTCAAGGCCTGACATGGTATGTTTTCAATTATAGGATTGACACATTAGTCACACTCTCCTTAGTTCTGAAGAGTATATAAGTAACTGGAAGGCTTAAGGCTGGTTTTCACCTTTTAAACTACCCCATTGATACAAACTCATGACTCTAGATAGGCTGTCATATCTATATGGACCAATGCTACAATTAATCCATTGTGTTCATACAAATGAACTAGACTTGGAATTCTGATTGAATGTTTCATATATCAGTAGCGCAAAGACCGAGGAAGCCAGCATCATATCTTGGGAAAATTTGCAGAAAGCTAAAGCCGAGGCAGCAATAAGAAAGCTAGAGGTTAGTTAAATCCCTCTCATCCTGTTTTTGTAGCTCTTAAAAACAAATCTGAAGCACAAAAGCTGAGGCGTTAAGCATAGAAACACTTTCATCTGATATCAACAGATAGTCCATATTGTATCCTTACTTCTAGTGTAATCTAATGTTAGACGTATTTTTGTCAGATGAAACTGGAAAAGAAAAGATCATCGTCAATGGAAAAAATAATGAGAAAAGTGAAATCAGCAGAGAAGAAAGCAGAGGAGATGAGGAGGTCGGCGTTAGACAATAAAGTCTCAACCGCATCCCATGGTAAGACTTCATCTTTCAAAAGAAGTGGGAAGAAGAAAATGCCTTCCCTTAGTGGTTGCTTCACCTGTCATGCATTCTAGTTGCCCTTTTTCCGAAGAAAACACGGTAAATGAACACTCTTCTTCACTCATTCGTACGCGTAAGATTTCGTGTTCTTATTCCTACATTGTAATAATATACACTTTTGATCGTAAGTAGCTGTTAATCGATTCCAATACACGCGCTTATAAGTACATTTGTATGTTAGTTACTAGCCGAGTAATATACCCGAGGGATGAGTCTACCCCTTTCCACCTTTGTTGGTTCCTTGTGAGGTGTTTAGAGGTGAATTGATCCCTTGAGAGGACAAGATTTTTCTTACTTACCAATCACATATGCCTCGTTGTTTTCATTATGTTAAATGTTCTTAAATTTCAAGTACAGTTTCTGTCTTTCTGACAAAATACCTTCATTAATTTATATCATAATGTAGTTTGTTTTGGTCGTACTTGTATCATATTGTATGGTTTTGCAACCCAATCAGACTAGATTATCATAAGCTGATTACGTAGCTTCTGCTAATTTGTCGACACAGTTCAGCTAATTATCTGAAAATACATCGCAATTCCTCTGAAAACACTAGACGTTACATTTTAAACAATGAAAGTATACAAGTACAAGAACTCATATGAAAATCTTAGCACTCATAGAAGATAGGTTATTCATATATATCTTAAAATAATAATATCTAACTAGATTTTAACCTGCAAGATATTTTCAAATATTTTTTTTTGTTATTAATTTGGTTTGTTATATAAGATTGTACTACAAGCTGACAAAAAAACATTGTACTACTGTATTTTGATTGTTAATTATATGATTTAACCCGTGTAACATTTCATGACAATTTGTTTTTTTTTTTCTAATAGTTATTTGATCAACCTAACTAAATAAGTCTAATATTCAAAATAATGAAATAATGTTGGCATAACATGACATGACCCGCTATATCACATGACTCGTGCTAAATAATTATCAATAATAGTTTAGTACATATATTTTTTGTATCGTTTGAGTAATAAACGTCCGTTTTCAAAAATTCAAATTGCAACATATGCAAAAAAAATTATATTTTTATTATACATATGTTTTATGTAATAATATAAATTTTAAAATAAATAAGATCATATAAAGATATTGGAGAAATATTTGATTTATTAGGGAGATATTTAGGAAATTTTGTTAAATGTAATAAATATTGATTTCTAATTTTGGAATTTTATTATGATTTAATTACATAATTTACCTTAAAATTTTGTTATTTATTCAAATAGCAAAAGTTTAATTATGCAAATAATACAAAATAAAAGGGTAGAAAACTAAAGGTATTTCAAAAATGTTAATATAGATAAAAGAAAACAAAAGTCTTAAAAATATGTATATTTCATTAAATATATAATGTGGATAATGTTAAAATTATACAAACCCCCTTTCTTTTCGTTCTGCAAATACACAAATACGATTCCCTTCGATCTCATCATCTCATCTCGTTACTGCGTTACACCAACCATGAGTGACGAACATAGAGATTCCGATGATGAACTCAATCTCGATCTGTCTTTAGGGTTACATCGTCCCGTGAGAAGACAAAACCGGTTAGTTCCTCATCAAGATCATCAACAAGAACCCGTGATGGAACAAGAACAAGGTCAAGGTCAAGGTCAAGGCACGTTCATGCAACTCTTGACATCATTAGATCATCCTCCACAAAATATCCAACGTTCTCCTCCTTCTCAAGATCACATGATCATGTCTTTAATTCAAGACTTGACCAACGATGCTTCTTGGATTGTTCCCGAACAAACCCTTCACCCTCTTCATCAAGTTGAAACCGCTCCTCCTAGTGTATCTGCCCCGCCGCACCCTCCTCGCCGCAGAGGTCGGCCACCAGGAGCACAAGCACGTCTTAATCCAACAAATACAGATGCTGATGAAAACAAAGTGATCAGGGAGATTGTACCACCGTATCCATGGTCTAAAAATAAGCCATGTGTAGTTTATACCATCAGTGACTTGACTGCAATGAATATAAACATGATTCATGGTCAAGTCTACTGCAAACCTTGCAACAAGACTCATACGTTGTACTATAATCTGATTGAGAAGTTTTCAGAGTTGTATGTGTACATTAAAGATAACATGGAGATTATGCGTGAGCGAGCACCAGCTATATGGTTATCTTCAACATTGACTCAGTGCGTGACATGCAAGACTGAGATGAAGCCTGTGATTAATGACGAGAGAATGGAAGAAATTAACTGGTTGTTTCTTATGTTAGGGGGAATGTTGGGATGTTGTACTTTGGACCAGCTTAAGTTCTTTTGTCAGGCTAATGGTAAGCATCGAACTGGTTGTAAAGATCGTGTTCTATACAAAGCTTATTTTCGTCAATGCGAACAGCTTGATCCTGAAGGACCATTCTATGTAGAGTGATCATCACGTATCTTTAGGGTTTGCTTTTGTTTTTACTTCTTTTTTTATAATCTCCTCTCTTTAGGTTTTGTGCAAACAAACCATTGATGTCTTTACTTAATCATTTATGGATGTTGTCTACGACATTGATCTTGATCTTGACAGTAATGATATCCTACTGCTACATGTTCTTTTTAGTTATATATGTATATCACTTTAAGATAAACATGGACTTGAGAAATAAATTTTTACATAGAAAACTATATTAGCCACATCACCCAATCATTGTGAGCTGTATGTGTTTGAGGTTGTCATGAACTAAGAATAGTTGAAGCTTATTGTATTGTGGAGCAGAGTAATTAAATTTTATCATCGTGGTAAAGAGATTTATGATATTTTCATACTATACTGTTTATATCGCTTTTTCTTGCTGTAGCAGTCGATGCAAATGTGACCTTGTCCACATGCCAAACTTGGTTATATTTTCGTCCATTGTTTTAAGATCTCAACTAGGTTTTAACCGGACGATTGTTTTGACTAAAAATATATATATTTAAGTTATATTTGTTATTTTTATTATTTTTTTAGTGATTAAGATTGTATAACTGTATTTTTATTGTTATTTTTATTACTTAACTCGCGGAATATTTTTTTGTAACTTGTGGTACTAATAAATTATGTTTAAGTTATATTTGTTATTTTTTTTTTTAACCCGTAAGATAACCCATAAGAAAAACATAAAACTCAAACCCGTTAAATCATATTTATGTTAAATATAAACCTTGAATGTTTATAGATTTCGAGAGAGATTTTGGTTTTTGTTTTCCTAAAACTCATTTTTAACCAATCAAGATTTTAAAATTTTGGATTCCCTAAAATTTAGTAAAATTTTTTTGTTGTAATCTTCCATTCAAGATTTTGGATTTTTAAGATTCATATTAGTCATATTTATAATGGTTCCGAACCATTGTCTAAAATTTTCTATCCGATGTGGGACGTTATACATATATGTTTTTTTTATCGATTGAGTAATATACGTCCGTTTTCAAAAATTCAAATTGCTACATATGCGAAATTTTTTGTGTATTTTTATTATACTTATGTTTTATGTAATAATGTAAATTTTAAAACAAATAAGATCATATAAAGATATTGGAGAGATATTCAATTTATTAGGGAGACATTTTAGGAAATTTTGTTAAATGTAATAAATATTACTTTCTAATTTTGCGATTCTGGTGTAATTTAATTACAAATTTAATCTTAAAAGTTTGTTATTTATTTAAATGGCAAAGATTTATTATGCAAATAATGCAAAATAAAACGTTATTTTCCAAAAGGTACTTCAAAAATGTTAATATAGATACAATATTTCTTAGGGCTCTCTACGCCTTTTTATTGTTGCATTATATATACCATAGGTAGGCATAACCGTAACCAAAAGCTTATATGAAGTTTATATGATACATAATATATATATATATATATGAAAATATAACCTTAACCTTAACCGTATTTCTATCCGAAGTCGGACCGTTAATCAACCGTTACCAAACCATAACCGTATAAAACGGTTAGAAATTTTAACCGTTATACCATTAAAATAAATCAGTCATGCACGCTTAAAAAAATATAATTGTAACCGTTATCAACCGTAAACGTATAGAACCGTACGGTTAACCATATAATTAAGGGGGAATTTCAAAAATACCCCTTTTCATATACCTCTTTTTAAAAATACCCTCTTTTCAAACTTTATCAAAAAAACCACCAAAAATGTTGAAATTTATCTAAATATGTGTGTAATCTTATAAACATATACACAAATTATCTTTTTATGTGTATAAAACTTTATATACCTTTCATAAATAGCGTAAAAATAAATTATAAAAACCATAGAAAAACTTTATAAAACTGTATAAACCCTTTTAAAAACCTTATAAAACTTATAAAAACGAATTAAAACTATTTAAAACATTTTAAAATATTTATATTGAATCTCCCCGTAGTAGTTATTATATAGAAGTAACTTATAAACTATATAAAACTTTATAATTTTTTATATTTAAATAGGGGTATTTTTGAAAATGGATAGATAAAGGGGGTATTTTTAAAAAGTGGTATACCAAAAGGGGTATTTCTCAAAAATTCTCTATAATTAATCGTATTAATAAACATTATTTCAGTAAAATAATGTTTTAAATTGTTTAATGTGTTAACTAGTAACTCTAATCCACTCTACTACTCATTTCATTATTCAATTCAAAAATAATTTAATTTAAATATTTGTAGGTTCATAACCATTAATTTATTTAATTGTATTTGTGTTTGATTAAACAAAAATCATTTTTAATTAATTTACTATAAATATTTGAATCATATAATTACATATATTTCATATTGTAAATGAAAATGATTTGATATGGTAAAAAAATATAAAACTTTGTTTATAATATTATCTATATCATAATCATAATATTATCTATATCATAATCATAATATTATCTAGAGAAATTGATACCAATAACCTTTTTATGATACACTCTTTTAAAAATACCCTCTTTTTTTACCATTTTCATTTTTGCCCTCTCTTAATTTTTAATGGCTATTTTACCCCTATTTGAAAGAATATTCTTTCACAAAGGAAGGAATATTCCTTCCAAAAATTTTCCCCCCAAAAATTTCCCGCCAAAAAAGTTTCCGAGAAAAAATTTTCCCGCCAAAAAATTTCCGCAAAAATTTTCCCGCAAAAAAAAAAATTTTCTCAAAATTTTCCCGCCAAATTTTTTTAAAGGGTTTACAAGATTTTTTAAAGGGTTTTTTAAAGGGTTTACAAGGGTTTTAAAGGGATTTACAAGAGTTTTTAAATGGTTTTTAAAAGATTTGTAATGGTTTTTAAAGAGTTTTAGAAGCCTACAAAGGTTTTTAAATGGTTTTTAAATGATTTACAATGGTTTTTAAAAGTTTTTATAAGTTTATAACAATTTTAAAAGGATTTACAAGAA